TGATTTTTAGGGCTCTACCTCACTCGTTTCTATTTTCACAGGAATCACAATTTTGTACTGCCTGTTGTTCGATATCTCAAGAGTTCTATTTTTTATTTTCCCCAGTTTTCATTTTTCGTTTTACGTATTTTTGTCCAGTTGTTTTGGGCAAGAGGGTAAGTCTAGTCCCATGAACTTTCTATTCTTATTTTCTACTTTTTAACTCACTTTCTGTTTTGTATTTAACTAACAATTACATCTGAAATTTATTTTGTTATCGTGTTAGATGAAAGTGTAATTTTATTTTTCAACCTCTTTGGAATGCTGTTTCTACATTTTTTTTGGCTTTGTATATATTGCTGCAGAGAATATCCTCGTGTAGAAGACTTCTACATTTCCTTTTTTAAAAAGAAATTTCCAGAACTCCTGTACATTAAAAAATATCTTGTTATCTATTGCCTATTGTCCTGCAAAGAGTTTCTGTCTCTACACAGCAGGCTATCAAGATAGTTATCTCACTGCATTTTCACTGACAGTGCTATTTCTTGATGTGTTAAATTGTCTCATATATGTTTTTATCTTTACTGCATTGATTATTTTAAGGTGCCATTTATTTATATCCTGTAATAATTTATATTTCTCTTATGTTAGTTGTCTGTGTCCTTTCCCCTCTTTCTTTGTGTTTTAGTCTTTTTGTTTTTCATTTCTTTATATATTAAGCATATGGACTTTGTCATATTTGTTATATTCAATTTTATTTTTATTTTTCCTATTCTATTAACTATTAACTATTGGTAGTTAATTAACTATGGGTAGTTAATTCTACCAGTTTTTTCTTTTATGAATTGTTCCATTTCTTTCTACTTGGAAAATCCTTCTTTACCCTGAGATCAGATAACTATTGATTCATATTTTCTAGTTTTTTTTTAATTAGTGTCTTATTTTATATTTAACTATTAATCATATCTGATATTTATTTTGTTATGATGTGAAGCGAAAATTGAATTTCTCCAAAGTTGAGCAGTTATTGTGGCATCCTGCATTAGTCATTTTTTTCTCATATATTTTGTTGAGTATTGTCATCTTCAACTTTATCATATATTAAATTCTTGTAAACTAATCCATTTCTGGCTGCCTGATTTCATTGATCTTTCTTTGAATTTGTGTGCCTCTTCCATACGCATTGTAGCTTTATAGCATCTCTCAGTTTCTCTGGGCGCGAGTGTTCCTGCAAGCGTATGGCGCGTTAACAGCGGCAGTCTTCCATTTCGGTATTGTCTTCGCTCATCTTATTCGTTTTTTTCCTGAAGGAGTCGCGTTGCATGTCTGCCTTTACATCCCCTTCTGAGCTCACCAAAGTATGACATTTCCTCCCTGAAAGGTAGCAAATGACCTAATTCCCGTGCCTGGTAATCATTACCTCCTTATTTTCTTCATTCTTCAGGTATATTCTTCTTCCCTTTCGTACTTCTCTTCGGACTCCATCACAGTATCCTGTTCTGCTTCTTTTTCCTGTCCTCATATATAAGATTCTGAGCTTAATTCCGTTTTCAGTTTTTACTGATTCCCGGACTATCTTGCACTTCCTTGGTTTTAACAATATCCTTTACAGAAACATATAAATGACTCGTATATCTACCTCTATGCCCTTGGGACCCGTAATTTCAAAGCTGTGGTATCAAGTGCTTATTTAAATGTTCCCCTCTGTATTCTTTTCTTCTGCACCGCTGGCTGCAGCATCCACTCAGCTGTCCACAGAGAAACCCCAAAGGGCACAAGCTGGTTCCCTCTGGAACACTGACTGTCTCGAAATGCCAGTTGCTGCCACTCTAGTTGAGGTCCCTTAGAAGCTCTTATTCAGCTCATGCGTAACTTCCGATGTTAACAACATACTCATTCGCTTATTTAAATGTGCCCTCCATTGACTAGCTACCGCATCCTTAGTAGAATTGTTTACACAGCTCGTTTTTCTAACCAGATAGTGATGTGCTGGCAGATTGGTACCACTCCCTCCCATTGTGTCTGCAGCTCTTCACAGCAGTTGCGCTAAATAAACACTCAGCGCACTCAGTGATGTTCTCGGTGTGCATTGTTGACTGACTGCAGTCTCAGAGCTTGTTGAATGATTCTCCAATTACTGCCAGTTATCTTTTTAAAATTATGCTACTTTTTTAACCCAAAACTTTTTGACACTCCTTATCTACAGAATAAATCTCAAACCCATATCTTGGCAGTCAAGGTCCTAAACAGTGTGATCTCATCTTTTTTTTGCTTAAGTCCTATCATTGTCCTGAATGTGTATTATTTATCTACATGTGTTTCCTTGCTATTGCTGTTTTTTCCTCCTTTAGAATTCCTTCCCAAACATTTATTAATCACCTGTTATGTGCAGGTGCTATACTAAGCTGTGTTAGAAATATAAAGATGGATAAAACTTCCATGGCAGTCTTCTATAGGCTTCCCTTATATTCTCCATTTGTGAAAAATCCATCCTTCAAAACCTAAGTGAGATATTACCTTATTGGGGAGGTCGCTCAGATTATCCCAGTAAAAATTAATCACTCTTTGCCTCCAAAGCATTTTTAATATCAGAATAACAAAATTTATCACAGCCCTCTTTTTTTTTTTTTTCATCTGTGCATGTATCTCCTTCACTGGGTCGAGTATCTTGAGGTTCAGGATTATGTCTTAATCATCATCGTTTGCCCTCTTTTTCTCTTCCTGGTACCCAACACAGTGACTTTAAAATAATTGATGCTTACTAAATGGAAAGCTGGTTCAAAGCCAAGGCATATCGAGAGAATTAGGTAGAAAATCAGGGGAGGATTGTATTACGAAAGCCAAAATCGTGTTTCAGGAAGGAGACAGCAATAGGCGAGGTGCTTGGCCCCAGAACAGAAAGACGGAGGGTAGACTGTAAATAGATTATTGGGTTTGGCAATTAAAAAGTTCTTGGTTATTGTAACAAGAATAAGTTCCATAAATTAGCGAGAGTAGACATCAGAGGGACAGCAGACTGCGAAATAAATAGAATTCTCCTTAAGTATAATTTTTTAGCTGATATTTTTATAGAAATTGGCTGGGAGACAAATTGGAGATATATGGTCTAAATAAAGAGCTAGAATCCTGCATATATTATATCGATTTAGGAAGCATTCATGTCTTTTGTACAGTAGATGAGTGGGTAATAGGCTTTGCATTATTTTAAGACAATTTATAAATTTAACCACTATCTTTATTCCATCAGAAAACTGCCATAAATAATCTATGTAGAGGTTACAAGGGCCCCTTCATTAAAGTCAGTGATATTTTGTATAAAGCGTGGCAGAAATGATTTTGACCCAGAAATTATTCAGAATGGTTTTACTGACACTCCGTGCTGCTTTCTACTTCCCGTCTCCGTTTGAATGGCAGTGCGTTAAATGTGTGTGTCTGTGTGTCCGTGTCTGTCTGCCTTTATAAAATAAATGAATTTTGAAAATTTTTCCTGAGTAATTGTATACATTGGCTTGATTTTTAACATACTTTATGTGATCATTTATCAGACACATTTAACATTTCTGCAGTTAGTACGATTTTATGTTTGATAATGTGTCATATTTAATTGGCAACAATTTTTTCTTTCTTTGTGTTAACGTAAGATGACGATAGAGTCCCAGTCAATAGCATCTTAGATTTGACAAACTATGACAATCGAATAGGAAGCTCGAAGTTTAGAGTCTGTCTGCCTAATATTTTAGTTTTACTATAACTAATGTTGAGCCAGTCTGTTTTGGCAAGAGTTGCATGATATAACCTCTCTTTACCATGATGATGAGTTATGCATAAAGTTTACGTTAAAACAATGATAGACACTTGAGTGGAGACGAAGGTGGGAAAAGGGAAGAAAGAATCTGTGTGGAACCTCCTTTATGTTGCCAAAGTTATGATTTGGTGTGCGAGGATCAAATCTTGTTAACCATGATGGTTATAAGTTTGTAGAAGCACCGAAGAGTCCATAATCCATGCGAAGGTACAGTTAATTTTCAGTCTTGCAGCCTAGGGATACGCTGACTCATTGGTTCATTTCTTTAGTCACAGACATGTATTGAGTATCTAACATGATGCTTGGCAGCCACTCAGCACTGTCACAATCTTTCATCGTTCCTGGGCGTTTCCTAGTACAGTGAAATAGTACAACAGATCAAGAGTCAGTTCATAGTACCCGAAACCGGCTCTTCCTCATACACGTTGTCGAATCGAGACGATAGGCAGTTTCTTACATGAAGAGCGGGCCTAAACAGGCAGCTGGATGCTTGGCCGCAGTGAGCGCCCAATACATATTTGTTGATTATTGAGTGGTGATTAACTAGGAAATGGCCGGGCTTATAGTTTAAGTGATTATGTGAGAAGAGATTGGTGGTGTAGTTTATTATTAAAAATAGAATATACATCGGGAATCATAGGGCAATAATGGAAGTGTCTCATTCGGGGCATTACTAACATAAAAACTTAAATTCTTAAGGTTTCACACTTTGAAAACATTTCCAGAGATAGTTTGAATCAACAGATGGAGAATTAAAAAGTTACATACATCGGCTCCAGCAAATCAGCGGTCCTTTCTTTGAAATAAATGTAAATCAAATAATTAAGTAGAAATGTTATATCTTTGCTTGTGTTCATTTATTTTAATAATGTCTCAATGCCCAGTCCTTGAAGGAGCAAGCCGCAGTGCAGTGTGGGAGAAGTACAGTCTGAGGCGACATACTTTTTTCCTCCGGTAACTGAAGGTTAAATGGGTAGCACGCAGAATGCCTTAAACAAGATGGGTACATTGATTAAAACGCTGATTTAACAGCTCGCAGTCTCCCCTTGGAAACCTGGGAAAGAGAAGCCAGCTGCTGTCTAAGAGCGCTCGGTGTCCACCGAGAGTACGCTATCTATCATCACAATATGGTGATGAGAGGTGTTTTATGTTTGTGTTAATTTCCCCCACTAAATCAGTAATTATTACAACCCTGTCCCTGCTGTTTACCCCGCAGCTGTTTTTCCATTTGTCGCGAGAGCGGGTGTTCTCTGAGGACCGCACACGCTTCTACGGAGCAGAGATTGTCTCTGCCTTGGACTATCTGCATTCCGGGAAGATTGTGTACCGTGATCTCAAGGTAAAAAAGAAAGTAATCAAAATTTGTTTTTACAGAGACTATAGGGACAAACAAAGTAATTACAAAGCTACACAGTTTGGAGAAAAGCAGATTTACTTGGGGAAAAAAACACTCTGTTTAAGAATGTGGTTGCCCGCACTTGAGGGGAAATTTCATTCTCTGGTATGTATGTAGTTGCTTTATGTCCGAGTTTTTGATGTGCAAAAGAATTTTTGCTTGACTGCTCTGATTAGGCGCGAGCTACCAATAATATTTCATTTCTCTATGTTTTTTGAGTAATGTTAAACATCTGATTAAAAGTCCAGTAACTTTGCAAGTGACGTTTTAAAGTTTCATTATCGTAGTCTAATATCCTATGATGTATTACGAAGAAACTTTTATAATAAATAATACTTTATCGAGAGGAAAATACTTGTTTTGATTTTGGTATTAACTTTTTGGTGGGTTTAAATACCTGAAGCCTTTTATTAATCTGTTTCATTTCCATTTTCAAAAGTACTGTATCTGTTTGATTGTTAAGAGTGACTTCTCGAGCTTCCTTTCTGATGACACCTAGAACAGCTGAGGGACTGGCAGGTGTTCTGTAAAGGCCAGATAGTAAATTTCTCAGGCTTTGGGGCCCAGTCTCTTTCGCAGCTCCTCAACTCTGCCTCCGTATGCATGAGTGAGTGTGTGTGGCCGTGTTCCAATAAAACTGTATTTACTGAAACAGGCAGGAGGCCGGATCTCTCCCATGGGCTGTACATTGCTGACCCCTGGAGTAGCTCATAAATGTAGTGATTCTCATGACACTGTTTTGAATTAGACTGACCATATTAAGGAAAGTTATACCCCGACACATTTTCAACAGATTCTAAATGTGAGAATCTTACTTTTTCAAAAAAAATAAATCATGTAATAATCTTGACCTATTAAAATTTGACACAGAATTGCTTTATCAAGTACTAGTTCATTTAAAATATAATTTTATTTGTTGAAATAGGAGTTACATGAGTCGTATGAAATTCTGTTTGTATGAAATGAGATCTGTCTCCATATTACAGCATAAAAAACACATCTCAATTAGTCCCTCATTCCCCTCTCACTCATTTTTAAATGCCCGCGATTCTTAAGTCATCTAATGATGTGAGCAGTTGTCTAGGTTATTTCAGGATGTTCCTGTCTTGTGCCTTTATGTTATCAATGACCCTAAGGAGTAACTATGTTGCAAAGTTAGTTATTTTTCACAGATGACAATGAAATGTAGTATGTATGTTTGCATAATATTATTTATTAAAGTTTAAGAAATGAACTATGCCACTAAAACATCTAGGTCAGGGATGACCAGCTAAGTGCCATAGTAGACCAGAGATGAGTACAAATCAACAGTGTGATTATATTTAGCCTGAAGCTTCTCACATCCAGGAATGTGGCCGAGTGCAGCATCCCTGTATCTGTCTGCATGGCCAAATAATCCTGTGACGTTTTAATGTCTTGAATCTAGATTTTTCAAAAAGAAATGAGTTATATGGCATGTCAAAACTTACAGCATAAGTTATATGGCATTTTCAGATTTACTTAGAATTAGTTAGCTCTTCTCTGCCTGAATCAACTTCCCCTCACTCCCGCTCTTATATTTTATGAATCCTGTTTGTAGGGAGAAAGGGAGGAACTTCTAGATTTGATGAAATGAGAATAATTTTGAAGTACTTGGTAACATGTCCACAATGTTTAAAGCTGGAAGGTAGAATTATCAGCCTAAAGAATCAAAGAAAAGAATGCTCATTCGATTGCCAACATTGGTGAAAAAAATGATACAACTGAGATGGTCTTGGTCATTATTTACCATTAACCATTTCTCATTAAATAAGAATAGCCATATTAAGTCACTGAAGTTCTTAGTATGAGTTTTATTACCCTGTCCCTCGAGGTGATGGAATTAGACTAAATTTATTAAACTGTAATGTAAAGTACCTACTTTACATGTGAATATCAATCATGTGGCTCCATCTGCAGGGACCACTAACTTTATTAGACCATTAGGTGGTCTCTGCTCTCTTAAGTTCTTTTTTTTTTTTTTGAAATATAGCCCTAACTTAAAGGTCTAAGCCAAACATTCAAAATTTATACAAATGTTGTTTGTATCTGTAGCGCACAGGATTATGCATAAGAGAGTAAGATCCTGGAGGTGGTTTTACAGAAATTCAGAGCTGGTCCAGTTTGTAGACGAGGTCTGGGCAGCCAGCAGCCTAATGAGTGCCATATTCAAAGTAATGGACTAAGTCGATGGCATAGTCAAGATTATTGGAGGCCATGAACCCTAGCTCTATGTCTGATGTTCTTTTTATTACATCATTCTGCCTTCCTAGACTTGAATCTGGGTGGAGGTGGGTGGCGAGGCTCATTGATAACTCAGAGAGAGCTTTGTAAACCTAAAATTCGAATAGAGCTACTGAAGATAAGAGAATGAGTGTTTTAAATACATTTGTACCAGATGTATTAAAGACAGTGTCATCGAAAACTGATTTAGCTATTCACTTTGATTGCTCAGTCTCTGATTTATCTCTGTTGTAGCCTTACCTTGTGTTTATTCAAATGCAAATCAATTTGAGATGTCTCTCAAGTTAAATCAGTACTTTTTGCCTCTGTTTATCCTTGGAGGCAAAGCCGTATTTCCTGTGCAAGTTAATTTAAGATATTTTATTAGTTTATAGTTCCTAATAACTTGATGTTCATAGCCACAGATAAATTATCGCAACCTGTCTTGCACCTGAAAAAGTAAGTTTTCTTAATTTATCAATAGGTGTCATGATAAGAAATTTTGTTTCAGTAAGGACCCAAATTCCTTGTGATTACTTAGGAAAAACGTGTTGCTCCATCGTAGCATACAGATTTGAAGAAGTCTCTTCTAAGAACTCATCACTAGCACAGAAGTGTTACAAACTTTTTTTCCGCTTAGTTCTTATTTTGCAAGTGTAATCTTTTCTTTCGATAATCATGGCCACCAAACTACAGAACAGACTGAATAGGGACATTTGCAAAGATGCATATAATAATACTGGAATTCATTAAGAATTAATTTCTCCAAGAGTTTACGATAGGGTAGATGGGGGCAGAAAATATTACAGAAATTGCTCCTGTGTTCTGTTTGTGGAAAATCTAATCTTATTTTCTGCCAAAGAGTTTAATGGTTAGCTTAACCATTTACATTATGGAACACGAGAGACCGCCAACTAGATGTAGATAATTTCTAAGACTCAGTGATGGCACAGAGGGATGACTTCAGAGTCTTTACCAGACCCCTTCCAGTCTTCATCCGCTCCCTGGTGTTCACCCCAAATAAACTCACAGTCTAAATCAAAGCAGCATGCTCCTTTCACTTACTGAATCTTCACGCGCACCCCCAGCTCTGCCTAACCGGACTGCCGCTCTGGATCCCGCTGTCGTAGAAGTTTTAAGCCACTGCTGTTATGAACCCCTTCCATCGCAAACAATAAATTGTACTATTGGGCTTTGTTATTAATTTGTAGTAAATTCTTCGACAGCTTGGCAAGCCAGGCGGGGTTTCCACTGTTGCGCGTCATGAACCCTTTCGTTCTTACAAGGGCAAAAGTGAAGAAGTGTTTTTCTCTCCGTGTTTTCAGCAGCCTCTCTGAAGTTCATGGTCATTAAGTCCCTGCAGGTCCGCTTGTCTGGCGTTTGGCACTTCGACGCCCAGACACCTAAACCCGCAGTGTGTGGAGGACGGATCCCCGCGGGTCCCCAGCCGGGGGTCTGGGTCCTGAG